GTATGTGGTCTATGGTGCTTAAGGCCTATTCGGAAACTGGCCTGGTTTGTTCGGTAGACTGAAAGTCGTAGAGTCTGCGTGAGAGACGATTTGTAATGACTCACGAAACAGCACGTAGACGCGGCTCTGAAGCGAAATCGGTCTGAAATTATACAAGAGAGCGTTGTGCCCGTTCTTGAAGAACAAGACCACTGCTCTTCTGCTTGACGCCTCCGTAGTGCCGCCATGGAGGGCGGAATTAAAGAGCTGAATAACTTCAAGTACTAGTTTTCCACCCGCTTTCAGAAGACAGAGATAAGACTTGTTTTTGGATCGTGACTCGTACTTTCGTGTGGCTCCAACGATGTCTCGTACAGCTGTCTATATAACCTCTCAATCTCACTCTAATTCCTGGTGTCCCGGAAGATACACTACCACATTCCTCCTGACAGAATCCTCCTAATATCAATTTAATACTAAAAACAATGTGGTTGTCAACCCATTCGTTTTACAACCATAATATAGCTGCAGCATGGCTCTACCATGTATAAGTTAGCAAATAATATTGCATTTTGTTGCAGGTGATAGCGCATGACTTCCCCGAAGGCTCGAAGCCACTGGTGCACCTGCTGTACCGGCCCGGACACTACGACATTCTGTACGCGTGATCGTACCTCGATTCTGTTTTACCATAATAAATTTAATTATCTTATTTAGTGTTTATTTATTTTTTTAACTCTTACCCTCATACTTACATATATTTTGCAATTATTTTTTCTTTTCTTTAAAAAAGAAAAGAACACACTAGGACTTTCTCTTGTATCATAGAGGCAGTTTACATACATTAAACAACGACAATTATCCAGATTCGGAACAATTATTTGTGGATCATACAATTACTAGTGCCGTGCGGAATTCGAACGTGTGGTCTTCAGCGCCGCTATTAATTGCTGAGTTACTGCGCCACGGAGCCGTCTATTGCCACGTAATACCTAATAATTAACACATGGTGGAGCCATGCTGCAGTTATATGGTTGTAGCGCGAATGCGTTGACTCGACCGGGGTAGGATATAAGGATGGGCAAATGAAACGCTATATCGATATTTTTAAACAGTATCGTTAATTAAGGTGAAAGCTACAGGGTAGCCCGCGAAATTTAAAATTTCATAGGTTTTTTTGCTATTTGTAGGTCAGTTTCAGGTTATATGTTTAACAAAATATGATTCGCGACCGTGGCGAGTATGTATTTACAGAATTATAATCATTCTAATCATCAATACATTACAACAACATTGTATGGTTATTTACAGAAAAACTCATTCAAAGGAATTATATGACCTTAGAGGGTTGTATTGGTGATTTTAATGATAATAATTCTGTAAACACATACTCGTTACGGTTGCGAATTATATTTTGTTAAATATTCAACGTGACCCTGATCTGCAAATTCCAAAAAACGTAAGAAAATTTGAATTTCGTGGGCCACCCTGGAGCTTTCACCTTAATTCGTGATAAATATCGATATATCGTCATGTTTTACGTCATGTAGTAGGAGGGCCAAAATGTTATCACAGGATATTATTTAAGAAAACGGCAGCACATCAATGCTATAACATTTTAAAATATATCGAGATTAATACCTTAAAATAAATGTCGATATATCGCTATTTAAAATATCGATATTTTTTACCCAAGCCTATTATGATCACGCTCCGCTCACACGGAATAGTAGCACAATATTGCTGTTTAGTACCGGAGACCTTTTTCACTGGAAGCGAGGCATTCTATCTTAGTCCTCAGGGGTGACAACACATCTGCATTTTAATTCTTAATCGAGGATAAACGTAAATGTTAAATGTCTATGGGCCAAGGCACCCACATACCATCAGGCTGTGCTCGTTTCTATGAAAAAATAAATCGTGGCTACGCCTGTATACGCGAGTATGGCTTTCATTAAATAAATCCAATAATTGTTCCTTTAAACGATAGTAGCTTAATGGTAAGTTAAAAAACACACACAGAACGCGAACTCAAACGTCGTGAGTTTGAATCCGCCATCAGACTACTGCAAATTGCAGCTGCTCAGACAGGTATTCTCCAATACCAGGGGTGCTGGTACCCTCCTGGGATAATTTCTGATTTAATTACACTACCATGTTAAGGGGGAGAGGGGTTAGGCCTCCTACCACCTGCGCTTAACAGGTGAAGTAAATTTTTATTTCACTCCTCGGTTCGAGCTGGTCCACCCATTCATTACATTTCTTCATTTCATGTCTTAACAGTTACCGTCAGTACCGTCACTCCATCTAGTCTGGGCCACACTTGCGACAGCAAAAGCTGCCGTGTGGCTCTTCCACTGTTATGTTGTCTGCCTATATTATGAACTGTAATCTACTTCGTCATTGTTTATGCATTACACATAATACTTAGTAGGAAGTAGCTTTGGTTAATTACGCACTGCAGTGGGCGACAAGGAGCTGATGATGAAGTAGTTTTGCACCTTTAAAGTACATATTTAGTTTAGTTTAAATAGGGCCCCAATTTCGTTTTTGCCCCGGGGCCCTTGGTTACATAGCTACGCCACTGTCTGCAATTAACTAATTCTAATAAGAGCATTTTAAGCTTACCTGGAATGGTTAACGGGAATGTAAGTAATGTTTATATCATTGTTTATTTATAGTATTTTTTTAAAGATTCTCTTGAGCACAGGAGTAGAGTTGCCAGCCTCTCACAAGAATAACGTGGCTTAATTCATCCTTCCCCTTTCGCTATGTGACGACCAGACGCTTTATCTAATAAATAATTAGTTTTCGGCTCTGCACTCCTACACTACCTATAACTAAAATTATGTACTGACAACTGGATTCTCCCTGTAATGATTACTGTGCACTGTACCAGCTTACCCAGATTGTATCGCAAAAACATGTATCACAAACTGGTAGAATAGGACTTTTTGTATAGAAACGAAGTGTTTAACAGTCCACCTGATAGTAAATGACAACTGTAGCATGGGCCACATCTACCATCAACTTTAAATAAAGACGGATACAGATGCAGAGTATAGTAATATATAAGGAAGTACAGATGCTTGGGATGCCTCACAGCTGTATACTAGTTATATATATACTAGCTGACCAGGCAGACGTCGTTCTGCCTGTTCCGACATCCCTTTGTCCTATAAAAATTCCTTAAATTCGCAATAAATATATTGAGGGTCACTTATAGGGATAATAACTATCCTATCTCTCAAGTTGGACCAAACTGCACACAGTGTGCAAAATTTCATTGCAATCAGTTTAGTAGCTTAGGAGTTCATCGCGGACAAACAATGAGACACGTAATTTTTATATATAAAGATTATACTAGTTCTCTATTCTAGAAATAGGTAAGAGGTTACCTAGACCCAGACGGACGCCTAGGCAGAGAATGTGTCCTACGACCTAGTTAAAGAATCTGTATCATGTACACTTCTGGAGTAATATTTTTTATCCTGTACAATTACTGTCCACCACTGTGCAATTTACAAGGAGTTTTCTTCCTCTCACAACTTCCTTGTGAAATCGACAATCACCAGCGATTTTTCCGGACCGATACGACTTAGGTACTCTCAGAAGCCTACTGTTTTTAAAAGGCCGACAACGCATCTGGAATTCCCCTGGTATTGCAGTTGTTCATGGGCGACAGTGGTCACTTATCAGGTGAGTTTTATGCTCGTTAGCCCCCTCTTGCAAAACAAAAAAAAAGTTGGTATCTTTTCAATAGGACGTTGCAGTAATGGTTGAAATTAGCTGGAATGTCATCATAGTGCAAACATTTTCATTCATTGTCTTTCACTTGTTAATTCATCACCCCTTTTCATCTCAAGAGTTTATGAAATGTTATAAAAATGACATAGTTTTAAACAATTACAGAGATGGATAATGTTCCTTAAGTACCAATTTTAGATTTATCTCATATATATATGTTCATCACTATTTAGGGGCAGTGGGCAGAAAAATGGTATAATAACCTGTTTTTTTTTTAAGACTAACTATATGAAAACAACATCAAAACAAGGGCTTAGATTAAGGTCTTCGCCTCACCTCAAGGATTAATCTTGCCTCTGGGAGACCTTGTAAGATTTGGATGCTTATGTGAATAGGATACTCCCTCGAATGCAAGCAGTAGCCTCGCCCGTGGTGGAAGAATTATTTGATTGATACACAGAAACAAAACAGTTTTATTAAAAATAGTGATGTACATTCTGTAAATACTAGGTACAAGCACAAGTTAGTTATACCAGTTACTAGACTCCAAAGAATCATTAATTCTTTCATGAGGCAATGTATATGCTTTGTATGCAGACCTTATCCATCAAAATGTTTAAAATATTTATCAAGCAAAAATTATTTAGTAAGGGTTTTTATAAGAGTACATGACTGATAATAACCCCTGTGAATGAGATGATCACTACCATGTTGTTTTCATACTAACTGTATAACAAAAAATAAATTAATTTTATCAAAAAAAAAGTTGCTGGGTTTCTTGCCAGTTCTTCCCAGTACACATGAGGCAAAAAATGATTCTATTCTATACAAACAGATGCATTGTCAACTCTGAAGACTTAGTTGGAATACCTCACAGCCTGCAATTGTACTGGTTCTCCATACCTTTGTGACCGGAACACAGCCGTGGTAACTACTCAGACGACTCCTAGGCAGAAAATAAGTCTTACCTCCATCTTGGTTAACAAACAGGTAAAAAGGAATGATTTTTTTGGCAACTCAGCCTTATTATTTCTTTATCAGAGACTATACAAACTATGCTGCTACGTAAGAAATCATTTCTGATCCTCAATTTGAAACAATAAAGTAAAATAAAACAACAATTTAATACAATACCTATAATATATGACCTTGAAAAAATACAAAGGAATTGAAGCTCAACCTAAGAATAATGTCAATACTATGCATATATGCAGTCAAAAATTCTAAAATCACTGAGATATTAAATGAAGAATTACATTAAACCAATTCATAATTTATCTGCAGAAATATACACCATCTGGCTCCCTTTTGGGTTTCATTCCAGCGAAAAAGGCTTTTATGTCTTCCTCTTTCACAATCTCTTTCCTATCTTTGAAGCTCTTCAAGAAGTCTAACAATTTATCCCGCATTTTGTTGTACTCTGTGAGAGCATTTATTTGCTGAATCCTATCCAGAGATGATAGAGCTTGTAAACCTTTTTCATACTGAGATGACGGTTTTCCTTGAGATTTTTCCATCCCTAATGTTTCATATGCGGTTACTGTATCCTCTGGGTCTATCAAAAATAGCACAGACAAATCCTTATACATTGATAGGCATTCATTACATGTACAAAGTTTCTGACGGAAGTTGGAGGGCCAAAATGTCGCCCCTTTAAACTGTCTCTTAACACCCTTTGGCCTGACACATGTCTTTACTTCTTCAAGTTTAACCTTTTTGGCTACAACATCTTCTTTAGTCTCCTCTGTTGACAACTTTCTCTTGTTTTCATTAACATTTGCCATTTCACTTTCATTAGGAACTTCATTTTCTATGTTAGAATGATTCATTTCACTATCATCACTTACTTTATGATCGTTTATATTTTCAACTGTTTTACTTTCTTCACTAATTTCATTGACTTGTGTAATATTTTCAGTCTTTTGAGGTTCAGTTTTATCATCATTACCAGTACATGAACTACTATCTTCATTTGTTTCAGATGTCTTTGTGGGTTCTGTACAAACAACTTCTTTTTCAGGTTCACTAATTGGTGTACTGTTTTCCGGTCCTGTATCTTGGAGTTCAGTATTTGTTGTATCACTTTCAGATTTGTGTTCACTATCATCTGTTTTAGATTCATCCTTTAAATCTGTGGTGTTTTGAGTAATGTCAGAATGATCCATTGGTAACTCGGAATTTTCTGGTTTTTCTATATCACTTATAGCTGGCGATTGTATACTAGGGCTATGAGGTTTTGTAGATTCATTTAAATTATCTTGATGATTTTTATCAGAAACCACTGCATCAGCATTCTCGTTCAACAAATCTTCTTCCATTTTCGCCGTCATCTGTTCATCTGCAGTTTTTTCTTCCTTAGTTTCTTCAATATTTGTTGTTAATGTAGTAGTAGTTGTTGTAGTAGTTTTATTTTCGACCTCACATGTTGTTTTATCTTCGATGTCTTGACTTCTTTCTTCTTCTAAAACAGGACTTGGCTCTTTTAATTCTTCGGTAGTATTATCATCAGTGCCCTTGGCATTTTCATTTATTTCTTTGTCATTCGTTTCAGAGATTGTGTCTTCCATTTTATTTATACTTTTTTCATCTTCATTTTTACCCTCTTTGTTGTCACTTACAATATTTTCATCTTCGGTTACATTTTGATCTGAGGAATTATCTACAGTAGTGGAACAAGAATTAGAATTATCACTTATATCTTTTGCCTCCGGAATTTCTTCTAATGTTGCTTTTGAAACCTCTTTTTTATCTATTTCATTTGATTTCTCATTTTCTTTAACATTTTCTTCCGTGTCAGTATCTAATTTTGTTATTTCTTCTTTTTCCTTAAAACTTTCTTCCATGTTCGTACTCGAACTTTCTCCTTTGTCACTTTCCAAAGTTAATTCATTTCGATCTACTTCAGGTAATAATTTTTTATCTGATGTGTCATTTTCATCTTTTTGCTCTTCTTCTTTATCAGTGCTATTATTTTCATGTTGGGTTTTCTCCTCACCATTTAGAATACTAGGTTCATCTGTTTTACCATCTTGGTCAGTAATTTCAGTTTTATCATTCATTTCAACATCTGTGTCACCCTTATCTTGAGGATTAGCTTCTGTTGTATTGATTTGTTCTTTTATTTCGTTTGGTGTTTCCAAGGAGTTAGATGTGCTGCCATTAGACATGGTAACATCAGAGCTAACAACATCAACATCAACACTGTCAGCAGTAACAGCTAGACTACTATAATCATGCAGAAATTCATTTTTTTCCATACAATTTTTACATATCATTTCAGAGTATAGATCATTGGAAGGCACAACTGCATCTAAATGTGATGCATGAAGCCAGTCTTCACAAACAATGCATTGTATCATTTCATCTTCTACAGTTGATTCGGGGTCAGGATAGGGTCGATGGCAAATGCAATATAATCCACTATAGTTCTGATTGTATTTATTGTCTTCGTTTAGATCAGTTTTATTCGAATTGAATTGGCAAGGATGAGAATTGAATTTGGGATTACCACAGTCACAACGAAAGTTTCTTTTAGTATACAATTCAATTAATTCATGGTTTTCATGGCAGGTCAAGCTACATGCAAGGCAAACACCAGCTCGTTTTGAAGGGTCAATTTTAGCATCTGAGCAGCAGGTCATACAAGCATAGAGTGCTTGTCTTTTTATATATCCCTGAAATGATAATTAATAAGCTGTTAGTTTGTATTTTTTCTAATTGTTTATGATTTGAAAAGGTTTCTAAATAATGTTCAAATAACATTTGTAATAATTTTTTTTTTTGGGTAGTTTTAGTATGAAACAATCAATCTAATTTGTTAATTTTTCTTTTTGTGCAAATATTGTAGTTGTCAAAAAATCAGCTGAGTTACATAGTAGGTACACAACCAGTTATTTGCCACGTAGTGGCGGCATAGGAGAATCCATTACCCCATGCTGTCCCATGAGTGTTGTACAAGGTGACAGAGAAAAATAAAACAGGAGATGGGCAGCAGCATCATCCTAATAACAACTCAAAATAATAAAAGAATGTAGTTTCTAATCTGTCTATCAATCATACCAACTATGGCAAATATCTATGACAATCTATGGGGTGGCTTATGTTGAGCTGTAAATTTTGGATAGGCTGTAATGAATGAAATAAGTGTAATTACTTTAAAAACTGCTCTTCATGGGCCAACCTAAGAAACCTTTATTAGGTTCACTCGTTTATAGAAGAACAAGACTTGCACAGTAGTGTACTGAACACTTCTACGATATGATAATTGGTGTTAGATTTATTTTATCAACATGATTTCTATACACTGAAAAACGCCAAAATGTTGATATTTTTACACACATGTAAGATGAATGTAACCCTAGGTTATTTGTTACCTACAGTATTAAAATGACACTGCCAGGTGGCAATGATGCGATTTCTTGCAAAATTCATATCTTAGTTGAATGAGATACAATAATAACTTTATACTTATAAATTAAACATAATTTATTACAAAATAATAAATCGATTTGTAATACAAGGTAATAGCTATACAGAACATACATGAGCATGTTTAATATATTACGACCTATTTCAAACGCCATATTTCTGAAAAAAACGCAATAAATTTTAATGCTTTATAATAAAAACTAATCTAACCTTTGTGTAGGTGCAGTTTTTTTCATCAGATGCTCCAAGAACAGCATTAGCGTCTTCTTCAAAATCCTGTTGTTCTTGTAGTACGTCCATCATTGTTACAACTTTTTCTCCGTCGCAATCAGCCATATCCGTGTCTCCAGATGTGTTTAGGCCGTTTGTTGACATTTTCAGGCCGTCTTTTTGATATTATTTTCCGAATATTGGATTTTGTTACTAATTACAAAATTTTAAGAATTATTGAATACCGGTAAGAAAGGCGCCAACAATTTTACACTGTGAAGTGTGAAACTTGAAACCATAGATAAATATATATGTAAGTTTGAAACGAGATTATGAGAAGGAAAGAGCGAGCGAGAGCGAGAGCGACAACCTGTGTACAGTAATCTGTGGCGACAACCGAGTAGAGATGTTGATGGTCATCGATGTCAAAAATGAAAACTTCGATTTTAACATCGAAGTTGCCACATGTCAAACATCGAAGCATCGACGTCAATAAACCCATAATCGATTATTACTTGCGAACACTGTGAACCTGCGAAATCAATATCAACTAAATCTTGCATCTCCTCTAAAATATTTAAAATTATGAATAATTCAGAATGCTTGAACGCATCGATAACCTAAAAATATATCATTATGGTGTATCAAATTTAACTGTCAAGTATCAACTGTAATGTCGCAGTTGTCACTGATTTCGTTTTGTTATTGGTGTCGTTGTTGGTAGCCTGTTTCTGGTTGATCTTAACATATATATATATATATGTATGTATATAAACACGCCTCTTTCCCGTACGGGTAGGCAGAGACCACTTCTTTCCACTTGCTACGAACCTTACACACTTGTTTCGCTTCGTTCACTTTCATTATTCCCTTCATACATGCTCTTCAGTTTAGGGTACTCTTGACCTGGCCTTTTTTGTGTTGTTGATCTTAAACACGACCCAATGCACGTTTAGAACAATGTTATTGGTTCTACCTATATAAAATTAAATAAAAAAAGTCGGACCAATAGTTTTTGAGTTATCCTTAGTCATTTAAATTGAACTCAGTTGTAAAAAATTTTTATTTTTAAATTATTTACAATAGCTGGCTCAACTTTTTATCAACAGAAAAACAGATTGAAATGTACTTCTTTGTCAAAATTACTATTTCTTCAATCAATCAGCAAAATATTGGACTATATAACAAATGAACTACATATTTGTGAACTTCTTCCATTTTTTTAAATTACTGTTTTACACTACATTGTTTATTAATTTCTTTTACTTCATTAATTATAAACCATAAACAACATGATCATTTTTTATTCATCTAATTAGAACCTATTAAATACATCGATAATGGCCAACATCGATGTTTAGAGTAGATAAACATCAAACATCGATGTTGAGCTATCGGACGTCAACATCGATGTCGTCATCGATGTTTCTATAACATCGATCATCCCTACAACCGAGCAACTAGACATGTAGAGTCGATTGTTAATTTGAGATCGATTAACAATAAATCGATTATTTGAGGTTAAGGAATTGATTTTTTAGATCGACGTGTAACACTGGATCGAATCAGTAACTCGATCCAATCGTCCGTCGAATCGAATTGGATCAATGAGGACTAATAATCTTCCGCTCATCAGATGTCGCTAGTTGACACTGAAGTGAAGTTTTTGAAGTTATACGTCTGTTCACGCGTTTGGGAAAAATGATAAGTGAATTTTTACGATGCCCGCGCACGCCGCGCCACCACGAAGTTGTTATGATGCGCGCGCACACTGACACTTAAAAGCGACACCATTAAGTTGTTATGATGCGCGCGCACACTGACACTTAAAAGCGACTTCAGTATGTAATTGTCTCTCAATTTTTTTTGTTTTGTTACGCTAAAGAAGTATAACTTCCTACGTGCGTACATAAATACATACCACACTTTTTTTTTATAGGTAGTGTAAAAATTATCGCAATGATTTTTTGAAAAAGACCGAATAGTAATGTTTAATAATATTACTTGTATTTAAAAAAATAAAAAAAGATACTACGAAAGGAAGTTTGTTCCAACAGAGTGTTCCACGACATGACACGAGCTTGCGCCTTATTCCGCATATAGTCCAGACCTCACACCATGCATTTTATTTTTTTTCTCACTAATCAAAGTTTTCATCAGAGGTTTGACATTTATGGACTCAGAAGAAGCCGTGATAACTTTCAACCAGCACGTAAAATACATACATGCCCTCAGACTAACGATCCAAATGTTTTCAAAAATGGTCTGCGCGAATGATATGTATGAGCATAATGAGCACTAAATAAGTATATTAGTTTACATATAAATTGTTTTATTTATGAGTTGCGCAATATTTTCTGTGAACAACACGTAATACATAGTAGGTACGTGATAGCTTTGCCGATTGTGAACTAATTTTAATGATTTTTTTTTGAATATACTATATATTATTTATTAAAATTTAATTTTAATTGGAAGAAAAAAAAATAGGACAAATTAAAATATCCATAAAAACCCGATTTAAAGAACACACAGCTGATGTGAAGAATCGACGCTCCGGGAAGTCTGCAGTCTGTGAACACGTACAGGATCGCCCCCGTCACTACATTAGATTTGATAGATCACAAATCCTCGCTAAAGAACACCAATTCCTTCCAAGGATGATCCGCGAGGCTATGGAAATCAAAAAACGAGAAGAAAAAAAAAGAGAAGATGGATGGGTGCTGCCATCTGCTTGGGATCCTATAATTAGTAAAATTAAATCCAAACCCAAGTACCACTGGAAGACTACAGGATATTGTAAGCTCGTTTTGTGTAGATCGAACCAAAAATTAATATTCAAAAACTGAACGTAGCTGGGCTATGACATTGGGCGTCAAACACCTCAGTCCCCCCCCCGTGACCATGGGCGCTGTAAAGAGAAACGTCGGGAATTAAAAAGTTAAATTAAACGCAATAAAATCCGTAAAACTAGTTTTATTTAAATGTGTAGTGTTAGCATAAATATAAGAAATCATTATAAAAGAATAGGTGATGAAATTTTTAAGTACCTGGACGACGTTCCAGTAACATCTTGATGTTGTATTTGTTTAGATCATTCTAGAGTCAAATATATACAGCTTGTTTTTTAAAGAGATGAATTAGTTTGCGCAGATAATTTTTTTTATACTATTGTGTACGTTTAACTTGATTTGTATGGGCTGGTTATTGACTATTGAATTTCGTATGCACTGTTATATTTATTCTGTGACTGACTGAACAACGAACCAATTGACCAGCGAGGTGTAGTTGTTCCACGTCTGACTTGACACGATCCAGCACTTAATTATCGACTTAAAACGGCCTACACATATAGCTCATCGCGAAGGTCACTGAACTTTACAAACACCAGACAGTTCTGAAAATAGAGCAGTTTCTGTACAAAGAGCAACTCGCCAAAGTATAAAAAAAAATATTATTTTTTATTCATTTTCAAATATGATACATAGACAATAATAATAGAAAATTTATTAATTGTATAGGTAACTCTATATGTAAAAATCTCGAAAATGGCTGGACCGATTTTGATGAATGATTTCTTATATTTACGTGAACATTACACATTGAATAAAACTACTTTTACGGATTTTATACGTTTTTTTTATAGGATAAGGGTGACAAACGAGCACACAGTCCACCTGACGGTAAGTGGTTGCTGCGGCCCATAAACATCTACATCTATCCTCGTTTGCGAATCAAAATGCAGATGCGTTGTCACCCGTGAGGACTAAGATGGAATGCCTCATTTCAAGTAAAAAGGGCCTCCGGCCACCTGCACTCACCAAACGAAACGTAGAGGTAAACCTCTACTTCACGCTGGTATTCTGTGAGGTCGTGGTACCACCCCGGTTCGAGCCGGCCCATCCGTGCGACAGCAAAAGCTGTCGCGTGGCTCTACCACTGTTAACTGTATTTATAATATAATAAATTTTATATAGTAGTATATATAGTAGTTTTATTAAACGATTTTAATGAAATTTTTTGTGTATATTTGAGTGGGTCCGTGCATGGTGTAAACACATTTCAAATGGACCCGGTAGGTGGCGCTGTTGTCGAGATCCAGAAATCGCCGGGGCAAATCGCTAGTATTATATATATAAGTGAAATACCACTGACTGACTCACTCATCACGAGATCCCCAAAACTATACGCCCGATTGACTTGAAATTTGGCATATATACCCCTTTCTCGGCGCACACACCCATTGATATGTTGGAAAATTTAATCCCTGAGGCGGTAAAATAGGGTCCTACATCTTGTTTAAGATACTTCCAAAATTATCGCAAGGTAGGTGGGGTGTGGTATTTTCGGCTCCAGTGGCAGTAGCTCATATAGACAGAAATAAAACAAATACTTTATTTTCTAAGTGGTCTTAATTTATCTTTATTAAAATAACATAAATATAAACTCCCAGATATTTTAGCTTTCTTGCTTGGTGAATCCCACGCAATACTATATTTTAATTATAATAAACAACTAAATAAAATGCTGGGTTCTTCCATGGTTTTGTAGTTTTAAAGAAGAAAAGGTACATCTAAACTTTTTTGTCCGTTACCAACATACAAAAATCCAGCGTCTGGTGTTCTAATTTTATGAAAGTACATCATTCCTGGCCAGTACAGACTTTTGAGGTAGGCAACACTGCCGACATTTTCTAAAATTAAATTCCAGCAACCTTTTGGTATATCTTGATCAATGGAATCCAGAAAGTCCATACTGTAATTATAATCTGGGCGAGTAAGGAGATTTGTATTCCACTTATGCTGAGCTGGTCTTATATGAAGATACGATTTGAGTACCTTTGCTTCTGTTGCAGTTAGACCATAGAAGTTAGGGCTAATGACTACAGTACCTTCTGGTTGTTTAATCAATTGACCTCTTGCGCACACTTCTGCTTCTTCGCAAATGTTACTTATAGTAGCAGCTAGTCTTGCCTCTTCTTTCATAGTTTTGCAGCGTTCTGGGTCATTTTCGTCAAATGCTTCGTCCAAAACTTTGATCTTTTCTGAAGGATCACCTCGAAACGGTTGTGTTGCAAGTAAAGAAAGAGATTTGTACTTCTTTTTTGCCTTCGGTAGTAGCCCCCAAAATTTAAAATCTGTTGTGTAAAAATATTTTCTATCGTT